CAGACCTTATCTGGGCAACCTGTACCAGTGCCTCACCATCCTCGCAGTAAAAGATTTCTTCCTAATATCTAATCTAAACCTACCTTCTATCATGTTAAAACCATTTCCCTTGTCCTGTCACTATATGCCTTTATAAAAAGTCCATCTCCATCTTTCTTGTAGGACCCCTTCAGGTACTGAAATATTGATCACATCCATGTGATTCTTCACCCAGGCTGCAACGCACAGGCATAACCAAGTGCCTGGTAATGATGAGCTGTGCATTAAGCCAGAACATAAAAACAAAACAACAAAAACCCCACTAGAAATTCCACTCTACAGCAGAGTCTTAGAGGCTCATGCTGCTTTTGCCATTTAATTTGCCACAGGATAATTAGAGCCTCCTGCGACGAATTTCACTTTGCAGAGAGGGAGATGGAGACCCTTCAGCACAGTCTCCCTCTGTGCATAAGGCATTCCTCTTCTGTGACTCTTTTTTTGCCAGCATGGGGTGCAGGGGCTGGCAATTGACCACAGCGGATTGAGAGAGCACTTTTACTCAGGGATATAACAGGGTTTATGCCTTTTATTTTTCCAAGTGAGATAAGCTTATTACTTTTGTTAGTACATTAGAAAAAGACAATAAATAGATTTGAAGTGGTTGGAGAAGGGAGAGTTTGTATTGTTTGTGGCCCTGTAAGATTTCATACTTATTGCAGTAAAGGCTCATTTTCTCCCATGGATTTCTATAGGTTCTTGAAATTACCCCTTTAATTTTTCTGCAGGGTGATAAGACCTCTCTGGAGTGGAAATAAATGTATTTTCTTGTTTTGTAACACGTTACAAAGATAGTTCTTTTTCCCTTGGGAATTTGGCTCTTTACTCTGGTGAATGGCAGATTTTATTTTTAAAAAAATCATATTTCTCTGTTACAATGAAGGACATACATATACCTGATCACCTAGACATGCACATAGACACGGATCAGAAAAATGCCACCAGATTCTACACCTCTGCATATAGAAATAATTCTTTTCAATAAGGGTTAATTTTTTTAACCTTCTTTGTGTTGGACACAAGCAAGAAATGAATAAAAAGAAATCTGTGCATGCAATATACTGAACTATCCTTGCTCTTAGCTTGTGGTTATTTTATTCTTTCCAATACTACTTAAAATATTACATCAAACACTCCATTCACTTCTGTTTACTTAATGAACTGACTAGCATTTTTATTTTCAAAGAAAACCCTTACATTTCATGAGTCCTGCAGCTCTCTTCTCTGCTACTGTTATACAATTCATATTGGACTTGATTTTCCCGTATATATATCCCCGTCTCATGTTTGCACTTACACTACAAAATTTAAATTACATTATTCAATCTCGCAGCCACCCTACATCTCACCTGGTATATTACAATAAGCTAATCCTTCCTAGTGAGTCTCAATTTCTCTATGGATGCAAATTAAAACTAGTTAAAAAGAAATGCATTTAAATCCCCAAAGATGTGTGTACATGCTGACTGCATTCTTGTGTAAGATAAACCTTGGATTTTTCTGTAACTTCCAGTAAGTCTCAAATATACTGCACATATAAAGAGGAATAATCTGTGTGTGTCTGTGTTGGAGGTACAGCAATACAGAAAGTGTTACACAGTTTTTAAGTCAATGACAATAATGGATTAAACTCAATTTTTATATTAAATCTGAAGATTAGCTTTCTCTGTAAAACTTGGAACAGATATCTTATGACTTCTCAAACCCATGTTTTGGTCTAGTCATGGCATTTCCAAATTCTGGCTCTAGTCAGATATCGATAAAATATTCAGGACCCTTGACTCCTCACAGACAAACTCAGTGGAGAAACCTGCGCTATAGTAGACGCTGGAAAAGGAGCTTTTCTTTCAAATATTTCTTCTAAAGCAACTTTCTGTGTGCTGGAGGGAGAAACAATTCCAGGCTGAGTAATGCAAAAGAGACAGCCTGTGGATCTGATGTGATTCTAGGAGACAAGAGAACAAAGCACTTTTAGAATCAGAAAATCATTAAGGTTGGAAAAGACCTCTAAGATCATCAAGTCAAACCATTAACCCAGCACTACGAAGCCCACCACTAAACCATGTCCCTAACTGCCACATCTACACGTCTTTTAAATACATCCAGGCATGCCTACACACTTCCATGGCCTGTTCCAGTGCTTGATCACCTTGTACCTCAGATGTATGGAGCAGGGAGACATTCATATTCCTGGTCACCTATGTGAGGGATTCAAACAAAATCCCTAGCAGTGCAGCTCAGCCTGTATAAGCTGCTAACAGGAGAAAGACAAAATCATGACAAGACTCAGCTGGCAATGTAGCAGGCATGGCAAGGCGGTACAAAGGTGTGGGTAGGCTCTTGGTGAGCCACTCATGGCTTCAGGTCTTCTCTGGGGTGGCCAAGTTGACTCTACCAGATGAGCACAAGAAGCCCAGATGTGGGCCAGTTGACATCAGAATAGATATATATACAGGCACCCCCTCGGAGTGTAACAGAGAGACAGGCCAGTCAGAGTGGGGTATCAGCTGGAACAGATCATGGAATCATACAATGGTTTGTGTTGGAAGGGACCTTCCACTAGACCAGGTTGCTCAAAGCCTCATCCAACCTAGCCTTGAATACTTTCAGGGATGGGGCAGCCACAGCTTCTCTGGGTAATCTCTTTCAGTGCCTCATCAGCCTAGTAAAGAATTTTTTCTGAATATCTAATCTAAATAACTCTTCCTTCTGTCAGTTTAAAGTCATTTCCCCTTGTCAAAATATACCCTTGCTAAAAGACCCTTTCTGGCTTACTTGCTACAGGTTTTCACTTTCTTGATATAGATTTGCTCAGAAGTCCAGACATCACAATTTTTGGATCCTGCCCCTGAACCCCAAAGTAGGAGCTGCACGTTGTCTACATCTCTGCCAAACTCATGTAACATGGTCACCCACCCAGCCATCCAAATACCTGTGTTTAACATCTCTGTCTCACCTGCTTCTCCTGCACATCATGTTTTATTTTTATAACTAGAATTTAGAGTTTCAGCCTGCAGCACCCACAAAAGTGCACAAACACATAAGAAGGAATCACGTTCACTGCAGCAGTACTAACTCCAGCAAATGGAGATGACAACTGCCTTTCCTCCCCCTGGCTGTCCATCTCCTGCGAGGGAAAGAAAAGGCAGCCCCTAAAAAGAGACTGAAAAAGAAAGTCACATGAACCAACACAAATAGCAGCATCTTACACAAAGAACAGACTCGATTACCGGGGCAAGGGACCTGGTGGGAGTGGCATACCCACCATGCTGTGCTGCCAATTACAACAGAACTTGACTGCATTGTGATGGAAAAGACACTATTTTTTTCCCTTCCTTATAGCTACTTTGGTAATAGGCAATTTATCTTCATAGCAGTGGGAAAGAAAATACTCTAGTGGAAGTGGTGTATAGCAATTGACTGTGAAGTAGGTAGAAAGAAATGCAGAGAAGAAACCTTTCCGGGGGCCACCATCACTCTTGTGCACCACACAATATTTCCTTAAAAATTAAAAGGGGGGGCTTTTTTATCTTCCTTTATATTTGCCCAGGGTCTAATTCTACTGCCTGGCCATCTAGCAAAGAAAATCATATGGCTGAATTTCATCCACAAATTTTGCACCTCCCTTTGCAGCACCATGGCAGCACCTCCAAACCCAGTAGCACCCAGTAGGCCACTCCCATCTGCTTTGATCTTCTGCTCTTCTGGTGATTTCTATGTGCTGTTTTGCTGTGCAATGGGATCCTGAGGTATATTCTGGCCTTAGAGAGTATTTTCACTATTTGACCTGCCTAATCAGAACCAGTTTTCAAACTCCATTTTCATTAACTTGGAAAAAAAAGAGTAGTTTCAGACAAAGCTGATGGTAAACAGATGCTATATTCAGTCAATATAGGTACTCTTGGTTCTCTAGGTACTGAAACACAGGGATGAGTCTGAAAAGAACAAAACCTTCCCAGCACTTGTTTTAATGAGTAGGCTTTCTTGCATTTGATCATCTGTTTTCTCAGAGGAAAATGTTAAGAAGGCTTGTCGTTAGCCAGAGGCAATTCCCTACCCAATATAACACAGACGTGGAGGAGCGAACTGCTGATGCTCCATGTCACACACAGCCCACTCCCTCCCTGTCCTCAACTACTGTTGCAGCTGCAGCCAGGCCACTGGATGTACAGCCTGGAATCATACCATCAAAATAATTGAGAAACAATAACTGCTGTAGCTAAGCAAACCAAGGCAGCTTGCAGAGACTGTCAATCTCCACACTTACAAGCTGCAATCTATTTTCACCACCGTAGGCTGCCAGGTTAATTAAATGGGACTCCTTGTGGTGACAGGAAGGAAGTCAAACAGCAAGTGTTTGTAGAAATAGACTTTAAAGTGAACAGCATATGAGAAAGGGAAGAAATTTCCAGGGAACACATGTTTTTGTACATTTCTTGGGAGATGTGTTATGCTTTGGCTGCTGCAAAGGGGACTGTCCCTTCCTAAGTGATGTCCTAGTTAGCCCTGGTGCAGTAACACCTCTATTCCTCACTTCTAGGGATGCTGGGATGAATCCTTGGCTCAAAGTGTTTTGTCAGCAGTGCTACTCCCTGGCAAAAAGCCTGGTCCAGAGAGCTACTGAACACCTCCAGTTTCCATATTTTTCAGGATAAGCCCTGAAAATCCTTACTTGTTTTTCTTTTTTACTTTTTTCTTTCTTTTTTTGTTTTACAGCAAGTGAGCTAAGGGTCCGGTGTTTCATTCTCTTTTATGACTCATAAAACTCATTCTCCCTTTAATATAGAAGCAGCAGCATCCTTCTTTGTGCCTGGAAAAAAATGCACAATTACCACAATTAAAACAGCCATATAACATCTGACCACTTTATTTTTCACATTACGGTGAGAATGCTGCAGGATTTTCCTAGACTTGACAGCAGGACTAGAAAAATAACCATTTTCAGGAGTTCCCATTTCCTTAATCCACTATCTCCTCACCTTGACTCCTTTAGGAACTCAGAGCTCTAAAGTCTCAAAGTCATGTAAGTAGTTGTCTATTATTATTAATCACATCAATGTTGTTAACTGCTTGGTTCAGTGCAACTGTTAACACTTATCCAGCTTGTGTCATCCATTGATGATATTCCCTCCAAATTAAGGTACATCAATCCTTCCTTGAGTGATTTTCATACCAGGCTCCTGTGGTTAGAAAAAGGGGATGAATACAAGGTTATATACATATATATTTCAATTCACATCACCTGTTTTGTTTATTTAACCTGCAGAGCTATGTAAAAGGGCTGTAGATTACCTGTGGCATCACTAAAGTTGCCCAGTAAGTTCATAATGGTGATAGGGAAAAGGGCCACCTAGATTGTCAGAAGTGAGGTTAAGCTGCAGGACAGAAACCTGCTGGCTGAATTGAGCGGATCAGTGTGAACGACCCTAAACCACTTCTGTTCTTCTTCAATACAGAGTAGTTCTGGTGGACTTGGTATTGCCTGGACAGACTGCTTTGCACCATAGAGCTGAACCTAACTTAATAAATCATGATTCCCACAATATCCTTTAATGGTCACTTGTCCATTCAGTAAACAAATTCTGAAGACACATCTTAAAAGATCATCTTGATTCTTATCTTTTTTTAGGTGGATTCCTTTTATTCTCCCATAAATTCCATCTCTGACTTCCCTAGAACAATTTCTTTTCTATATTCTTATTATTTAGACTATTTGTCTGGGTATGAATATCCACTCTTTTCATTTATGTGCAGAACCAATTTTATTACTAAACAGACAACAAACAAAATCAATCCTTTCTTCTCATATGGAAAAATAAAGAATTTAATGGAAAAGGATGACTTCTCTATAGGTTTCTGAGAAATCTTACTCAATTTAGAACAGAAAAATACTCAATTCTCTGTCATGTTTTGTGTGAGTTCAGAGTTATTCCTGTGAAACCCTTTGGCATAATTCCTGTTCACCCATTTTACACTTTCCATAAGACCTGTAAGACGGTTTATGTGCAAGAAAGAAAACCTTGGCTGTTTTTAATGCTTCATTCCTTTCAAAATAAGTATAGAGCTCAGCAAAAATGGCTATCAGACCCCAAGTATCAATGACCATTCTTTATGCTAATCTTTCCATTTCCTGCTATTACCAGTTCCAGGGTCAGCAGCAAAAAAAAATAATCCTGAACTATTGTAAAATCATCTGTCATTTTATTTTCTCCCCTAACTCTCTTAAAGAATGTCTGCAATGAATTACCTCCATGTCTGAAATGAATTACTACTCCATCCCACACAAACACACCATCATTACCTGCCCCAAGCAAGGTCTGGAACTATATTGCTCTTGTATGTTAAACAATAGTCAAGCAATGGTGAGATGCAATTGATTATGTGAAACGTTAGAAAGCCTTAGTAAATCAGCTTCTCTGAAGTCACCTGGGCTTTAAGTTAACTGGTTTTGGTTTAAAAGGTTATTACTCTTTTTCTTTTTTTCTTTCTTTCTTTCTTTCATTCTTTCTTTCTTTCCTGCTCTTTGTCTCTTTTCTTCTCTACTTTCTCTTTTACATTTTACTTTCATTTTTCTGTTGCTTTTTCTTTTGTTTTCTTTTAATTTCTTGTTTCCTTTTACTTCTTCTTTCCTCCCTCCTTTCTCCCTCCCTCCCTCCCTCCCTTCCTTCCTTCCTTCCTTCCTTCCCTTCTTCCTCCCCTCCTTCCTCCCTTCCTTCTCCCTCACTTCTTTCCTCCCTTTCATTATTCCGTTCCTTTTTTTTACATTAAAAATTATCTTGATGCTAACACTGCAGAAAGGAAATTGTCCAAATTTTTGAGAACCATGCCCTGTCGTTCCCAAGACCTTACTGCCTCACCAAATCCTGACTCTCACTACAGACAGGGATAAACTTTTTGTCTTGAAGCCAGATTGGCGCCTTGCTCTCATCTCTTTTACTGGAAACAGTTGCTTCATTTTTCAGATGCCTAGAAACATTCATCTCGTTTTCAGTCTCAAATTATTCATAGCATTTTATACTAGTTCAGTTGCTTTTCTCTCTTGCCAGTGTTTACCTGCTTGAAATATTATATTTTGTATGTTCCTGTCTGCATTTGTTTTCCTATAACAGGCAAGACAAGTCACCTTAATAGGTAGTTCTCTTCCTTTGTTTGTTTGTTTGTTTGTTTGTTTAAGAGTGCTCTATTATAATTTAATTTTATTTCTTTAGGAGCAAATTTACCTAAATCAGAAGAAGCCACCCATCACTGCTTGTCATTCAAGGAATGCCACACTGATAAAAGTGTTATCTAGAGGTAGTGCTCCCCACTACATTGCAATTAAAATTCCCCTAAACTACTAATTGCAATTAGAACACCACTTTCATATAGCAACGGGCAGCCTATTAAGTGTTAAAATGGAGTTTGGGAGGAAGACAAACCAGCTCATCTCTTCAATTTTTAGCACAAAGGTGACCAAAGGTTATGCTGAGGTTTATGTCCCATTTCAAACCAACCTTCCATCTGACCAGATTTCTAGCACCATTATACGAGCCATAAACAACATCCATACATTTCCATTTTTTAATCAAAACCCATGTATAACAATGTCAGAGCAACAAGATCCCACAGGCATAGTGTCTGTAGCCTTTATAAAGATCACAGTGAAAATGGGGTTACAGTGAGATTTACTTTTAATGCTGTGATGCCCAGGCACTTTGTTTCTCACTGTTTTGACCCTTCTTTTCGTTTCTCTGCTCAGGTATTGCTTCTATTTAAAGGTATTGAGTTAGTTTGAGGAGAAAATTTGCTGGATCAGAGTATAAATGAGAGCAATCTCTCCTAGAGCTGCTGTATAATGCAGATAAATCATGCCAAGAAGAGGTGAAGGCTGAACTGTGCTGGTGTTACCCTCACTCTGGTATTAGGCAAGAAATGCATGGAAATGAAAGATGAATGCATAGCAGGGCCACAGTTTGTACTGCAGCACCTTTTTGATGGCACAAATGAGAAAGTCAGTGAAGCTGCTGCATTGTATCAGTATAATGGGGGTCAGGATCCAGAGTAGCAGCACTGTATCTATTATTGGGAAATAACAGATACACACAAAGGAATAATCAGGTAGTGCTTTGCCCCACAGATTTCTTACTAGGTTTTGTGCATATTGGGATCAAAGGGCAAAACCTCCTTTTCAAGTGGTGTGCTGGGAAATGCATTGGGTTAGAGATTTGGGACTGATGTGCACTGAGATGTCTAAGACAGATTTCAAAAGCTTGTATGACGAGCACTGCAGGCATGGGGAATAAAAAGATTTGTAGTGTAGTCCCACACATTCTAGTCCAGATCAAAAAATTGCTTGAAGAGGTTGTTGTTTGCATCATCTCTTACTTACCAGCTGAAAAGTAAATAGTTGGAGATCCTGCCTCAAACACAGACCCATAGTCATTTTGAATACTTAAAAATTTTTTGTAGGGTTTGTCCTCAGCCCACACCTGCAAGGAAAGGAAGTCATAGAATCATAGGATCACAAAGTAGTTTGGGTTGGAAGGAACCTTCAAGATCATCTGGTTCCAACCCCCCGCCATGGGCAGAAACACCATCCACTACACCAAGTTGCTCAAAGCCCCATCCAACCTGGCCTTGAACACTTCCAGGGATGGGGCATCCAGAGCTTATCTGAGCAACCTAGTGCCTCATCACCCTCATAGTAAAGAATTTCTCCCTAATATCTGACATAAACTTACAGTCCTTCAGTTTAAAGTCATTCCCCTTTCTCCTATCACTAGTCATCATCACCTCCATATCCAAAACATACTGTTCAGTGAGACAAGAAGATTTGCCAAGATTTTGAACAGAAAAGGGCAAAAATTCACTGCTTTTGGAGCATTACTTGAAGAACAAATACAAAGGACCCCTGAAACATCCTAAGACAGCAACTATACAGCATCCATCCACTGATCTATTTTATGCAAAGGAGGCAATGGCACTGGCAGCATTGAAAACAGAAAATGTTTCTATTAAAATGGAGAAGCTCTTTGCTGAGTTTATCTTTGCTGTGTGCATAAAGGAGCTGAGAGCCAGTGGAGGATAGGATGAGACTGATTGAGAGTGGTAGGAATGATGCACAGATCTTTTCCATAATTAACCAGGAACAATAATTATGCCTTAAAAGCAAAAGCCTGAAACAAAGACTGAGTGGTGCAGGAGTTGTGCAGGAGTTTATTGTTTTAGGTATCTTCACTGGTGTATTTCTAAGCCAGGGGAAAGCCTTTTATACAGCTGTGGATGAGCCCTCACTTTATAACTGAACTTTAGATTTCATCAGTGATTTATCAGTGATAAATCGAGTGTCTCACAAGAAGTTCTGTTAAACCACTAAGCACTAGGAATTGCATCAGATCAGCAAACGCGAACAAGAAACGGAGTCTGTCCGCAGAGCGGTGAATTACTTGGCAAGGGCTCAATCGCTTGGGGTGATTCCAGTGTTTATAACAGCAGAAGAGCAGTGATGCTTCTGGCTTCCAGTCTGCATACCCCGTATGATGCTTAGCACCTTACTCTTTCTGATCAGACTCTGACACTGCTTCAGTGCCCTTCACCCAGCCACAAAACCTGCCTTCATTATTTACTGTTCACAAGAGGAAAACAATTCTCTGTAAAAGAGCCAGTGGGAAGTGGGAATTTTTATGGCTGACTGCAGAATTTTATTTTTTTTTTTGCTCTTTATCATCCCTGTGTATTGTCACATCTTCACACCACTGCAGAGCCTGTCTGTTTGTCTCTCTGTTTACTTTAGGTATATTAATTCTTCACTGAATAAAGGTGCATTCACCAAGGGGCAAGTCACAAACCAGCTTCCTTGGCTGGCGTTTATGGTGAATTGGCTCCTATCCAAAACATCCGTCCTGGCCCATTTACAGCATTGTGTGGCTGGCAATCAGATGCTCTGCAGGGCCCTTAATGCTGTTGGCCATGGCTCTCAGCAGCTCTCATCTCAATAATGCAGCAGAGCAGCGAGTCAAGAGGCCACCGACACGGTTTGTGCCTATCATGAGGTTTTTTGGAGGATGTGGGCACACAGTCAAACCTCACTGAATTGGTACACTTTGATGAGTTACGGCTGTGCAGCTGGGGCAGCGTGTACTTAGCTCACTATCTGCAAAATAGAGGAATTTAGCATACGGAAAGAATAGCAAAGCAGTAT